TATGAAACTTGGTTTCTGATGCCTAGGAATGTTAACCTAAATTATAAAATTAATTTCACTATCCTAGCTACACTAGAAATATCCAAAGGCAAACATATATCAGTTATACCAATAAATATGTTTCTTTAATTGGAATATTTTTACAGTGTTTTTAATGATTGCATTTTTAATTTATAAATTGCATAATTAGAGCGTTTTTGTAAAAAATATATGCATGTAGTTTTCTCATAATAAACTGTACATTTCTCTCAAAAAATATTATGTTAGGTTAATTTATAATAATTAAAAATTAATAAATAATTTAATAGAAATATTATAGTTTTACAAAACTGGTAATTCCTACCGAAATATGATGATGTAATTAATGGTTGGTCTTAATAAATTAAGTAACTACTTACTCAATACTATTAACGCGTATGCCTTTGGGTCCCAACTCTGCGGCCATGCATTTGGTAAACATATCCAGCGCTGACTTTGACATAATATATGCCGACATATTTGGTCGCTATTTTACATATATATATAATTAAAAATAATCTTTACTTATAAATAACTAATGTTCATGGTTTGCCATTTTTGAAAAATATCTTCCAGGAAAATAGTTTTGCGCCGGAAAATTCTTTATNCCAGGAAAATAGTTTTGCGCCGGAAAATTCTTTATATTCCTTAAAATTGGGAAAATAAGACAAAAATGTGGTCAAACGATGACCAATCGACGTATATAAATACTTTCATTGTATTTATTACATGTGCCCTAACATGCTTAATCATAATAGAGAAGAAGATTTGGTAAAATCTATTTAATTAATTTATTTTAAATCATTTTGTAAATTATTTTGTAATCAAAATTCAATAATTGTGCTCAAATGGTGACGTAATGCTAAATGAGTGACAACCAATTCTTTATTATTCATCAAAAACATTATAAAATTCATTGACTACTGTATAAAATAAGATTATTTTTATAATTTTTTTTATACTTTTCAAACAATTTATTCATAATAATACTTAAAATAATCATAATTTTAAAAATCTATTTTTCCAAAATAAATTCCCATTCCCACACCTCTGTATTTTCCGTAGTTTCCCTCTATTTTCCGTCCCGGCAACATGGGAATTAATGGAATTTTGAAATTTCCATGAACATTATAAATAACACATTCGGTTGTTATTAAAAACAAAGTTAAATGCACTTACGTTACGAACTCTAAGAACGCTACAAATATTAATAATATTTCCTTTAGTTTTCTCCAAATGTTTGACACAAATATGGGTTAAGAAGACAACGGAATCCAAGTTTGCTTTCATTATATTTCTATAACCAGAGGCGTAGCCCTTATCTTCAAAGCTCAACGGGGAGCCAATGGCCGCGTTATTGACCACAATATCTATTTTGCCAAAAGTAGTGATAGTTGTGTCCACCAGTCGTTGAAGATCCTCATCACTGGTCACGTCTGCCACCACTTCCAGCGCTTTCAAGCCATCGGGCGATACGTCGAGACACTGTTTGGCCACTTCTGACACTCGCCCGGCGTTACGTCCCGTCACCACAACATTGGCTCCCGATTTGGCAAACAGTATGGCTGTGGCCGCGCCGATGCCCGAACTCGACCCAGTGATCAGGGCCACTTTGCCGGTAAAGTTATAGTTGGTGGACATTTTTATATTAAACAATTTTATATCAAATATTATTGAGTTTATAGTAAATGTGTTTAAAAATTGTTCGTGTCACCTAACAGCTTTGTGTTTTATACACTATTCATATTGTAAGCGATATTTTTCAGTGTCATTATATTTTCTTGCTTACGTTAATAAAAATTTACCGTACATTAATATGAGTAGAACAATATTTAAATAATGCTAAACATGTATATTTATTTTTAAAAATATATATTTTATTTAAGACAAAATAATATGCTTTAGAAAACACCGAATAACATCTAAATCTTATAAAGACATAACAAATAAAATTATAGTGTACATAATTATTGATAGTTTTAATATATGGCAAATTGACAATTATGTTG